TGAAGTGCTTCAAAATTGATTCCTTGAGGACCTGCTCCATGATTTGTCCAGGGACTGTGGTGAGGCTGACTGGCCTGTAGTTCTCCAGATCTTCCTCCTTCCTTTTTTAAAGATGGGCACTACATTTGCCTTTTTCCAGTCATCCGGGACTTTGCCCGATCGCCATGAGTTTTCAAAAATAATGGCTAATGGCTCTGCAATCTCATCTGACAACTCCTTTAGCACCCTCAGATGCAGTGCATCCGGTCCCTGGGCTTGTGCTCATCCAGCTTTTCTAAATAGTCCTGAACCACTTCTTTCTCCACAGAGGGCTGCTCACCTCCTCCCCATACTGTACTGCCCAGTGCAGTAGTCTGGGAGCTGACATTGTTTGTGAAGACAGAGGCGAAAAAAGCATTGAGTACATTATCTTTTTCCACATCCTGTCACTAGGTTGCCTCCCTCATTCAGTAAGGGGCCCACATTTTCCCTGAACACCTTCTTGTTGCTAACATACCCATAAAACCCTTCTTCTTACTCTTAACTTCCGTTTCTAGCTGCAACTCCAAGTGTGATTTGGCCTTCCTGATTTCACTCCTGCATGCCTAATTTTATACTCCTCCCTGGTCATTTGTCCAATCTTCCACTTCTTGTAAGCTTTTTTTTGTTTAAGATCAGCAAGCATTTCACTGTTAAGCCAAGCTGGTCGCCTGCCACATTTACTATTCTTCCTACAAATTGGGATGGTTTGTTCCTGCAATCTCAGTAAGGATTGTTTAAAATACAGCCAGTTCATAGCAGTTCATAGGCAGTTTACCGCAAACTTTAAATAGAGGGAGATATACAATGACGTTATTATACCCAAGTTTCATCTAAATGTTAATATTTCCTTTTGACTTCTGAAATAACAAAATACAGTCCTAGACAGAAACCTTTTGGTTACACTGTTCATCTGTAACAAGATACAGGTAAACAGAGACTACTACAATTAGTATCTTTGAGGGCTGTCAAGTGATTAAAAAAGGTAATCGTGATCAATCGCGGTTTTAAAAATAATAGAATACCATTTATTTAAATATTTTGGATGTCTTATACATTTTCAAATATATTGATTTCAATTGCAACACAGAATACACTCCATGCATCTGGTGAAGTAGGTTATAGCCCACAAAAGCTTATGCCCAAATAAATTTGTTAATCTCTAAGATGCCAGAAGGACTCCTTGTTGTTTTTACAGAATACGAAGTGTACAGTGAGCATGTTATATTTTTTGAGTACAGATACTTGCACTGTAAAAAACAAAACAAATAGTATTTTTCAATTCACCAACTGCAAGTACTGTAGTGCAATCTCTTTATCATGAAAGTTGAACTTACAAATGTAGTATTACGTACAAAAAATACCTGCGTAGAAAAATAAAACAATATAAAACTTTAGAGCCCACAACTCCACTCAGTCCTACTTCTTGTACAGCCAATCACTCAGAAAAACAAGTGTGGTTACAATTTGCAGGAGATAATGCTGCCCGCTTCTTGTTTACAATGTCACCTGAATGTGAGAACAGGCATTCACGTGGCATTATTGCAGCCGGCATCGCAAGATATTTATGTGTCAGATGTGCTAAAGAGTCATGTGTCCCTTCCTGCTTCAACCACCGTTCCAGAGGACATGCATCCATGCTAATGACAGGTTCTAATCGATAACGATCCAAAGCAGAGCAGACCAACATGTGTTCATTTTCATCGACAGAGTCAGATGCGACCAGCAGAGGGTTGATTTTCTATTTTGGTGGTTCAGGTTCTGTAGTTTTCCAATCAGTGTGTTGCTCTTTTAAGACTTCTGAAAGCATGCTCCACACCTCATCCCTCTCAGATTTTGGAAGGTACTTCAGATTCTTAAACCGTGGGCTGAATGCTGTAGCTACTGTGGAGGAAAAATAGTCTAAGGCCTAAACTTTGGTCAAGTGAACTGTATGTAGGGTCAGGTGAACTGTATGTGTGGCCCGGAGGAAGAAGAAGAAAGGGGGGGGAGAGTAAAGGGGGGGAGTAAAAGGAGAAGGGTAGACAAATCTTAAAAGCAGAACTAACTGTAGACATTATAAAAGTAGAATTAACCTTTGTAACAGACTATGATTGATAGATGTCAGGCGACAGAGCAAGAAACCACAAAGGGGCCAACTGTGAAAAACAGGAAAGCTTGCTAAGCTATATTCCCTTTTTGGGGGAATGTATTCCAAATATGGGAATAATGTTGATAAGAAAGTGTGCATTACTTAATTGTGGTTTTATGCTATATAAGCTATTTGAAAATCTGTAGTCGGGGGGATTGCTAGTTCACTGGTACCTCCCGTGCATGCATGAAATAAAAAGGCCTCCGGCGATACTGATCCAAACACAACGCGTGGTTGTTTTTCCACAACACTACCTTTAGAAATCTCAGATTGTTACTTTCTTTGCGTTTTGTCAAATCTGCAGTGAAAGTGTCCTTAAAATGAACATGTGCTAGGTCATTCTCTGTGACTTCTATATAATGAAATATTTGGCAGAATGTGTGTAAAACAGAACAGGGGACATACAATTCTCCTCCAAGGAGTTGAGTCACAAATTTAATTAAAAAGAACAGGAGTACTTGTGGCACCTTAGAGACTAACAAATTTATTAGAGCATAAGCTTTCGTGGACTACAGCCCACTTCTTCGGAATTAATGCATTTTTTTTAAATGAGCATTGTCAGCATGGAAGCATGTCTACTGGAATGGTGGCCGAAGTATGAAGGGACATAGGCATGTTTAGCATATCTGGCACATAAATACCCGCACTGCCAGCTACAAACGTGCCATGAGAACACCGTCTCACACTTTCTGGTGACATCATAAATTAGAAGCAGGCAGCATTCTCCCCTGTAAATGTAAACAAACTTGTTTGTCTTAATGATCAGCAGAAAACGAACAGTAGACATCTAGGTTCTAAAGTTTTTAATTGCTTTATTTTTGAGTGCACTTATATAATTAAAATAATCTATGTTTTTAAGTTACACTTTCCTGATAAAGAGATTGCACTACAGTACTTGTATGAGGTGAATTGAAAAATATTTTTTTTGTTTTGAATGTTTACAGTACAAATATTTGTA